CAGAGAACTTCGTATAAACTCGGATAACTTTTTAAAAGTAAAGAGAACGATGTAGAATTTCAGAGCAGTGATGGCATAATCATTAGCAAAATTATATTTTTCCGCTCTCATACGCTCTCAATATCAAGCTTCTTCTTATTCTTCTTTTTCTTCGCATTTAAAGCTTATTGCTTATCGCATATAAGCTTATTGCGTGCTCTCATCTTAGTGTTCTAGATGCACTTCCACAGTTATTAACTGAGAGCTTTCGATGTCTGTACCATTTTTGCATTAGTAGAATTGTGTGGCAAGTACAACCATAACTCTATGCCGAGATATTTTCCAACCCGAAAAATTCCTAGACCAGACCGGGAATCGAATCCAGCCACCTCCAGCATGGACTTGTTTTGTAGCTGCGCCTTTATCGAATGAGCTAAGGCAGGCCCCAGCTTAATATAATTTCAGATCAGTGATGGCATGTTTTCCACTCTCAAAGGCTTTCAATATAACGCTCTAAGCGTAAAATTATTGACTGCTTAGGCTAAGTGGGAAATCACTGCTCTATTCAATTTATAGCTCTATCCAGACCGTATGTACCAAATGGTAAAGGACGAGGCAACAAACACATTCAGTCACTGACGAATAGGTGACTCACATGAAACTTAAACTTAAAGGCCCAAACGCAATGTGGACTGAAGCGGAACGGAAACGGAAAGTTTGACAGTTGTCACAAATGACATCAAGAAGCCTAACCGATGTCGATTTGGTTCTAACTAGTTTTCAATCGGACAAGTAGGCTTACTCAGATCGGGCTTTTCCGCTGCCGCTGCCGTTCCGCTTCCGCTGTCATTGCGCTTGGGCCTTAACTCTTGATCGAGAATCCAAAATGGTCGATTCAAATGTGCAGCAATTCTATCTGTCAAAACCATACACGCAAAACAAAAATCTATTACAATGAATGTTAGTTCCGTTTCCTATCATCCTCTGTTCATGAACATCGCAACGAATGTTAGAAATTGACCATGCAGGCGATGTAATGGTTTTTTGTTGTTTTATTTCGTGTTCTATCTATGCTTTCGACTATACCAGTAAGCTTGTAGAACGACGCATATTATAGAACATTGTAGAACGACGCACACCCCGTGGTTCAAGTCCAGTCCGGCAATCTGTTTCCTATTTTTTTTTTCGACATAACTAATTTCACTCACGAATACACTCTACATGTTTCGGTCTCCAATGTTCTTGCATTGGACCGCAGCTTGGCATATAGCATCCTCGGTTCATGCGATCTCCACTAACATCCTCTGATGATGAATCCCACATAATTGTAAGTGAATCTTACATCCCCTGGTTGGGTGTAGAAATGTTTTATCTAGATAAAAATAATTTGTCCGAAATAGATTGTACACGAACCAACACATAAATTTTGTACGCGTGCTTGTGGTTTCGATAAATATTTTCCACAAACACGGCGGCAGATGTCAGTTTTGTGTTTTGATCAGAAATTTCTTTGTAGTTTGTATGATCATTCATATCGGTTTGCCGGTGATGTAACCATAGAGGTAACTCTAAGACAGAAGGTCCCGAAGAAACGTGCTCAACTATTTGGCTCAGCTCTGGTACTATCTTCAGTCCCAAGCTTATCGATGCACCCCTCGCAACATAGGAAAACCCACGAACCCCTCATTTTATCTGTCAAACTTTCATAGTGAATCAAAACAAACAAAGTGTAGTACTAGAATTTTGACTAGAATGGGGTAAGTTAATCGATTTGCTTGGGACCAATAGGCTGGTCAAGTAGTGAGTTCATCGACTATTTTGCGCACTGATCACACGTGATATTGGAACAAAATATAATGCCTGATATTGATTTTGCATGCTCGTTTAATATTTCGAGACTATGTTAAAATGTACCAGAGAGCTGATTCAACACAAAAATGATTTGCATCGTTTTCATAGAAAGAGAAAGTATAATTTGCTATCACTCTTTACTCTTCACCGATGGCAGACACGAAGTCACTGTTTCCAGCAGCGATGGAAGCTTCGAGACACGTTCGGTGAGAATTGTAGCTGGTGAGTTAGCTCAATATTTGTAGTCTCTACGATTTCACAGCATGTAAGGGAAATGGCTCTAATGATGGTCTATGGATCTGGATCTGGAAAATAATCTATCGCTAAAAATCTGCTATTTATCAATTTTACCTAGATGAACGCGTCATTTGGGTGGTCCAAATGGATATTTTTGGTCGCTATTAAAAATTTAGTCGATTGCTGAATTTATGTATGGTCCCAAATTAGGGACATTTATGCCGATATTACATCTGTTACAATGTTTTGTCGAAACGCTGAATGCATGAACTTTGCAGAAAGTTTGCATGAAAAATCCCAGCAGCGTTATTTTTAATGAAGATGTTGCTATTGCCTTTTATGCCACGGATACACTTGTATGACAAACTATGAACATGAGCATTATTTGTATAATAAATTATGAGCACATCCAAAATCTATACAAGTGTGACTAATGATTTCCTCAAAATTTAATATACAAATAATGTTCATGCTCATAGTTTGTCATTCAAGTGTATCCGCGGCATTACTCCTATGGAAAATCCCATAAGCAATTGTCATTCTGTGCGTGGAGAATTGCAGACTGTTCCTTACTATTTCACTCCAACGCGAATTGCGAGCCATAAAGTTGTCAAGTCAAGCTGTCAGAGCAGAATTTGAATAGAATAATTGCAATGAAATGACATAAGATGAGTTTTCCCGTATTTATCTTTGTTACTTCAATAAGCCACATGCTGGTTAAATAAGAAGGATTTTATTAAATTTTTGGACAATCACACCACATCTTATTAAAAAATATTCCAAAATATCTTACTCACCGCCGCTCGCAACACTGGTTGCAAGATCATTAGGCGTTCTTCAATCAATTATTTTTTAGTTCATGCATTTTGACGTTCCACTGCAATTGGCAGTAATATTCGCAGTTGTTTGCTTGTTGAGTATTCTCTACAGAAAATTAAGCGTGCTCACGGTTATTAGTGAGATTTTATTTTTTTGATATTTTCACAACACTGCTTCAGATAATTTTATAGAACTAACATCAGTCATTTTTGTAGAAGTTCCGAGATCTTACTAGAAATTTTTTTATAAATTAACGAACTTCAGAGAAATTTAGCAAACTTTGTACGAATATAAATAGGTGCATTGTTCTCAAGAACTTCGTTTGAAGTTCAGGGATTTTTCATTAACTTCATCCGACTTTTTAAAACATCAAGGACTTAGTAGGTGCTTTGCAAAAATTCCGGGAACTTCGTTGAAATTTTAAGAAAACTTTATTTAATTTTATAAATCTTCATAAAAACCTTTAGCATCAGGACACTTCGTTGAAGTTTGATGAATCAGGAAATTCCATTAGGGGATTTTGTAGAACTTCAGGGTACTTCGCAAAAAATCAACAAAATTCTAAAAAGTTGTAAGAAACTTTGTAGAAGTGCAGCGAACTTAATAGGAATTCTGAGAACTTTGCAGAAGCAAGCGAATTACGTAGTAATTCGAGGAACTTCATAAAACTTCATAGCAGTACTGGGATTTTATTCAAAAGTTTAACGATCTTCGTAGAAGCTCAGGGAGTATTGTATAGAAGTTCAGCATACTTCTTAGAACTTCAGGGTTTGAATTGGGAACTTACTGAATTTCTTAAAAAGGTCATTGATTTTCTGATATCATGTTCAAATTCAAAGAACTTGGATGAAGTTTATGGAACTACGTAGAAGTTGTGATAATTTTCAAAAATTAACTATGTAGATGATCAAGAAACGTTGGAGTAATTTTTCCGAACATCAGGAATTGTTTTGCCACTAGCGAGTACAGTTCTGGAGATAGATACAAATAAAATTAAACTTGTTTCACTCATATCGGTTCAACCATCTTCAAGAAAAGTGAGTGAGTTTGTTTTCCGTCGATCTTGTTTTCCATCATGCTGAGCACCAATGCTACCGACGCCAGGGAGGCACCTCCCATACCTGGACCCTACCTATCGACCCATAAACTCATGAACCGGGGACCAACGGCTTTACTTCCCTGGCTCAGAGATGTTATGCCTCAGAACATCGCGCCGGTGCCGACTGATATTGAACCCAGGCCTGCTGGGGTTAAAGGTAATCACGCTTACCACTAGGTGCATCCATCTCCGAGAAAGAAGAGTGACTAACACAGACTTGTCATTTTTATTGATATCTCCAGAACCAGACATCCGAATGAGATGAAATGAAGTACGGTTCTACGGGAACACAAAAAACACTAATTGAAACTAGTTTCTCTCAAATCGGTTCAGCCAAAAGGAGTGAGAAAACATACACATACATTGCGTGCACACATACAGACACTTTACGATATCGTCGAGTTGAGCCGATCGGTATATTACATTTGACCCTCCGGGTCTTCGATCAAACATGTGTTTTCAAGTGATATTATATATTAAACATTAATACGAGAAAACCTTTACAAATAACTCCACCAACCATTATATGTCTGAACTCTAGAGATCGGAAAATTAATATTGAAAAATTATGATCAAGACCAACAATACTGAGGAAAAGCCACAGTCAAGGACTGAAGATCTAAGTTTTCTAATTAATTAAAACCTTTTAACTTGTTTTGGGATTTCGTATTTCTAGTTAGGCCTCTTGATTAAATCATCATTAAATTTTCGTCTAAAAGTCTAAAACTTTCATCTATGAGTAAAGTTCCTAAAATCTGGGCAATATATACACTCTTGACAATGCAAGCCAAATGGTCATGACAAATTGTCAATTAACTGTATAAATAAGTAACTTAGTATTCCTAGCCTTCCAAAAAGAAACGTTCTTCATAGTCACATATTTTCCCCAATGCTATTCACCAATCAAGAAATCCGAAGCAAATTTCTTCAATCCATCAAACCAACCGCCTCCGTGATGACATTCAATTAATTCATAATTACCAATCTCAACACTTATTTTTCAAATCTTACTCACTTCAACTCTGCAGCAGCACACCAGCGTATGAAACGGCAATCTATTCCTCCGAACTTGCACCGTGTCTAGCCCAACGACCGCGTCCACGTCCACGAGCAACACGTTGTTCCGCAGGCAACAGGCAAAAAGCACAACAGCAATCGATTCAATTAGCCGCGGCCGGTAGTGGCACTCCGAAACAACACTCGGCGGCAGAACTGAACTGTTCTCTCGTAAGCACAGCACTGAAAAACTGATCCCGAGCTTCGATGGAAAACTGATCCTTCGGAAGAAAAGTTGCTCTGCGCTGTTACACTTTCACTGATAAGAGGTTAGTCGCGTTATGAGCTGCAGCACAAGAAAGCTTCAATATTTATACCTTGTTCTGAGCAGCAGCAGCAGCAACAGCCAACCAGGAAAAATAACCTAAGCGGAAAAGTCAAATTGCCCCTCGCACGCATGTTTTTCCGATGGCGATGATGACGACGACGACAACGACGATGACGATGACGATGACGGGAACGACCGTGGCGGTAGAAGGTAGAAGGTAGAAGCATTGCGATTTTCTTCTTTTGGGTGAACCCCATATTATACAGTCAGAGCGGATGGATAGATGGCGGGATGTGGACTGCTTTTTACCACTTTGTAGTCGGTGCCATTTGCGAAGGAGTATGTTTTGGTTAGACTGTGAAGTATGTTTTTTGTCGTTTTTCAGTATGACAAATTGTTTCTGTTCACTTGATAGTTGGTCAATTTCAACTCAAGTCGTACCGTCAACGTTCAACTTTATTTAAAATTAATTAGCTGGGTGTAGTTACTTCAAAGAAGGGATTTGGTCCAACGAATTTAGTCAATGAGCTAAATGAATCTAGAGCATTATCATTTTTCAACAATATCAAATCTTCAACGTGATCGACGATAGGTCATCATATGCCTTAACCTCTTCTTATAACATTATTGGCGGTGGGGGAAGCGTTCAATATTTTAGATTTATTCAAATTAGTCATTACAGAAGTTCAGAGAAGCCGGCGCCGGGTGTGTAGTGGTAAGCGTGACTGCTTTCTAACACCCCGATGGGTCTGGGTTCAATCCCAGCCGAGGTCGGTGGGATTTTTCTGAGGCATAAAAATCTGTGGTCACGTCTTCCTTAGGAAGGGAAGTAAAACCGTTGGTCCCGGCCCATGTGTGTTGAATGGGTGCGATATCGCAGGTGTGGAAAAGCTGCCTTCCTGCACATTCGATTGCCGTCAATGGATGGCAATCGATGTCCGTCGTTGATTGGCACTAGATTGCGGAACAGAGACCGACGTTAAATAAAGGAAAGAAGAGAAGTTTAGAGACCTTCCTTATTATAATATTGAGACTATTTACTATTAAATCGTAAGACTCAAGGGCAATTCACAGAAGTAAAGAGATTACATAGAATTTCGTAGAAGTTTGGGAAACTTCGCAAAAGTTCAGGGAACGTTGCAGAATGTCAAGTAACTTCATAGATATTCAGGAAACTTTGTAGAACTTTTTAAAACTACGTATAAGTGCAGAGAGTTTTGTAGAACTTCACCAAATTTTGAAGAAATTATGAGAAATTTGAAGAATTTTATCAAATTTTGCAGTAATTTAGCGAACTTAAGATAAATGTAGCAAATTTTGTAGAAACCCGGGGAACTTCATTGAAGTTCAGGATTTTTTCCTTAACTTCATTGGACTTCTTAAAAACTTCAATGATCTCTTCAGAGGACATCGTAGAAATTCAGGAAAATAAATAGAAATTCGGGTACCTTATTAGAGTTTCAGTGAATTAAGTAAAAAAGGAGCATTATCTAAATAATGGAAAGCTTCGTAGAAGCAAGTACAAGTTTGGTTAACTCAATTGAAATTAAGGGAACATTATTTAATTTCAGGTAACTTCATAAAAGTTTCAGGACCTTCTTTCAACTTTAAGGCACTTGGTTAAAGCTTAATGTACTTGAAATAGTTCAAGGTATTTCGTAGAAGTTTTGAACATTTGTAAAACTTCAGGGAACTTAGCAGAAAATCATCTAAATTCAGGAACTTCAAGGAAATTCGTAATTATTCTTAATAGGTCAGCATATAAAGTACAAATTTTAGAAGATAAGCTAATTACGTTGAAATTCGAGGAACTTTGAAATAAATCAGAGATGTGCATTATGTGATGAACTAGCCCTCGGCTAAACATCACTTTAAAAACAAAATAGATGGGCATGAAATGTAGTATACTTTCTCGGCCATCTTTGTAGAAGCTCAGCGAACGTTTATAAAGCTCAGGGAATTTCGTTGAATCTCAGGGAATATTTAACACTTCGAACACGATGCCTTCGGTAAAATGTGTAACGGTAAACTTGTAATGTTTGAAAAATCAAAGCTCATCAACCGACTATCGCTGACAGAACGTTTTGTCACGCAGTGAGAGGTAGAGTCATGGCAAACAACTAATGGTCGCTACGCACAGGCAAAACGTAACACTTGCTACTGATGGTGAATAGCCCAACGAAAACAGTGAAGACTTCTGCAGTACTGATGAGAAATAGCGAAACGACAGAAGAAAATTCAAACAATGCCTACGACGTTGTTACCGTTTTGGTTCCTGTACCCTATTGGTTCACTTCAAGCGAGAATAATCAGGAGATAGCAAGAGCGAGGAATAGGGTATATGTGTATTCATTGTGAATTCAATCTGTATGTCAGTTTCTTGTATGCAATATTGTCTTGTTTTGAATGTAAGTAAATATGTACTCCCAAACCAACGGTCTAATTAAAAATTGTAACCCAGTCACACCAACAACACATAACACAGAACACATAACGGGAAGGAGTAAAGATGAAAATGGGCGTTGGAAACAGGAGAAGGATAAGGAACAAGGGATGGTGGAAAAGTGGGAGGGAGGTGGAAATGGGCTTAGGTCAAGGGGGAAGCTACTGGGTCAAACTGAAGAGAAGGTTCTCTTTCACTTCAGCCATTGCGCGAGATAGATCGATCTGCAAAGTTTGCTATAAGTTTTGGAAAAAAAATAGTGGAGAGTTACCAACAAATACTGGCTAACACCACCTAATCCGGAGTCAGGTAGCACCTAATTAATAACCCGGTAGCGAAATTCCCAGCCCTAAGACCATCTCCCTTATTCCAGTCAGGACCCATTAATTACGGGCTAAACCTCGAGGGCGTCCGTTAACACGTCAACATCCGTGTAGCAAGCGTCCATCGGTATTACAACGACGACCACTGAGAGACCACCGTCGATCACCCGATCGAGTCCGAGTGCCACATCCGTCGTGCCACACGGTGACAACCGTCGAGCCCCGGCATCCACTGTGAACAGTCCGTTCATCCGCCGCCGAAAAACCCCACCCGTCATCGCTGGCCAGCAATCTACACACCCACACTACAGACATAACAAGACATACATAAGAGTAAAAGTGATAAAAAGGTGTTTTGTGCTTCTGATCAGTGTCGACAAGCCAGGAGCCGACCTTGAAGCTCTAGGGTTTCAAGCTCGAGCTAACCAACAAAAGAGGCGAGTGTAGACGATCTCCGTGGCTAGACCAGATGTTGGGGGAATTCCTTTAAACTAACCCATCTGGCTAGCTATTAACAAAGTCCAGACAGGCGCAACTGTGTGAGTTACAAACAAAGCTAATAAAATTAAACGGAAGCTGTTGAGCTCCGGCACCAACACACTCACATCAGCAAGCGAAGCAGCAACTGCTTCTAAACGAGTTCAGATGAGTGTCGTGATTGTTGGGAATGGCCAGATCGGTGTTGGATCATCGCCAAATACGACGTTCACCAGTTGATTTTTACTTCTTCGTCAACTGGATGGATGCTCATGGAGAGAACTGAACGGGTTCTGATTAGTTTCCCAAAATTTGAACACATAGAAGCAAACCGTTAAACATTTATGTGGAAATACTTTTTGAACATTGCCTTCTAGTTAGCGGCGCCAGCGGTGTAGTGGTAAGCATGATTACCTCTCATCCCAGCAGACCTGGGTGCCTTCTAGTTTTCTCCATATTCCACTGAGTAAAAGCCTGATAATGCATCTTGTGTAAGCTTATCTGAGCCACATTTTTTAAGAAGGACTTAAATGTGAGTAGGTAGGTTTATTTTAACAATTATTAAGTAATTTTTTTTAATCGCCAGAAAATTTTCCTTTCTAAAACGGGTTTTTGAGAAAAACAAGCATACGAAAAAGTTTTATTTTCACGCCAATACAAAGTAATTGCAATTGAACTTTCTGACGTTTATAACACACACTTGCGTAATCCCATGTTTAAGTGCAAAGTTTGTTATCCTCACTTTCACTCCTGACAAAAATGTTGGTTTGTTATTGTTTTCCGGTCCATCAATAATACTCGTGCATATGGAATGGACTATATGAGAGCTGCAACCAACCCCATAGACGATTTGACATAAAACTCGTCAGTGGTGATTGTGGTGGATGGTCAGTGGTGAATGCAGACATGAAAAATCCTGATAAATGTGGGCGTCTTAGTGGAATACCTGAGAGAGAGAGAAGGATTAGTAATTTCCATTTAATTCCACTACCTTATTTGCTTATCCTTGACAGATACGCGTATTTCGTCTACAATGTGCAGACTTCTTCAGTGTCTTGTACTAATAGTCGGAGTTAGCCGCATTTCGTAGTGCACATATTTCATTTAATCAAAAATATGTCATAACAGGACTGCAACGCCTATCATTTGCGAACAACACGAGTGAAGCCAAATTTCTCTGGTGCTCTTAGCGCTAATTTGACAGCTCCTCCTTTTCCTTTATGATTAAGCTTGGTACATGTCGCGCCGCGTTGCGGAAATAAGATAGAGTTTTCTAGGTCGAAATCGACATTAAATTAGTCTTACATTGATCCAACATCGGGTCGACTTGTATGTTCGGGACCATTTTGCTGGGTTTCTTCCATACTCCACTGTCGTATATCAAATGATAGTGAGTGACTCAACTGATAGTGACGATGAAGTTCGAATGAGAAAGGAGCTCTTCAAACGATGGGCATTTTAGTAGATATAAGTCTCGCGACAGGCATGTGAGAATTCTTTTTTCATAGAATCGATCGAATGGTTGTATTGGTTCATCTTCAATGAGCGCTTCTTTAGTAGCATTTTTTACAATCAACTGGGTTTGGTTTTAGATATGTGCAACTTTACAGCTTTTAATCCACTCCATGTGCAAAGCTGAATAAACTAGTCAAGAAAAGTATTGCATGAGCAGTATTATATAACTTTTACCTTATACGTATACGTTCCGAACGAACGAGTGGCATGATGCTAGATCAGGCCAAAATAGAGTTGAAT